GGATTCACAACCTTTTCCCTGGTTTTGACATCTTGACCACAGTTAAATATTGTATCTACCTAAAAGGCACTAGTTGACCTCTATGCACACCACACATGGAAGACAGGCAAGGGGAAGCTACCAGATGCAGCCCCCTGAAGCGGTGAAGCCTAAGGACCCTGACTGACAGCAGCGACCTGGTGGATCCTTCAGCCACATGTGGTCCACATCAAACCCCTGAGCCACTCATCTTGCTGTCTCTGTTAGAAAATCCTAGCGATAGCAGTGAACTTACAAATGCATGCATTTAGGGAGGATGTGTGGGTCTAGGCCAGGTAGCTGGGTGGTTATGGGCTCAGGATCTGTTGTTGCCAGCCTCTGGTTTTGAAGCCTGACTCTCACACACTGGGTGATTTACTTTGTCTCTCTGCCTCAGGGTCCTCCTCTAAAATATGGCCAGCACCTACTTGCAGGGTCGCTGTGAGGACTGAACACGTTAACACCTACATAAAGCTTAGACTCTGCCCAGGCCAAACACTCAGCGCTAGTCTTTGTTGTCTGCATCCTCTCATCCAGTCTCCTCATTCTGTGTTTTAAAAGAAGAGATGAGGGGGCCGGGGATTTAGCTCAGTGGTTCCGACACCTACCTTGAAAGCGCAAGGTCCTGAGTTTGATCCCCAGTACCAAAAAAAAAAAAGAGAGAGATGAGCCCTTGGGATCCCATAGCTTGTTAGTAATAGATCCCAGATCAAGGACTCCGGTCTTCTCTGTAGCATCTCTCAAAGTTTTTGGCATTAGGACTCTTTATTCTCTTCAAAATGATCAAGGACATCAAAGGGCTTTAATACTTGTGAGTTATACCTACACATATGTATCAAAAAACTAAAATATTGCCAGGCTCATTTAAAAAATCTAAGAAGCCCATCCTAAATGTTACCATAAATGCCATTTTTGATGAAAAATGACTTAAAACCCAAGGAGAATGGCATTGTTGTACATTTTTGTAAACCTCATTGCTATCTGGCTTAATGGATGACAGTTGGATTCTCCTGGGTGCCTCTGCATTGTCTGTCTGTTGTGTGTCATTTTAGAGAAGTGTGTGTAAGGGGAACCTGGCCATCCACTCCAGACGAGATTCTTGGGGACTGACCAGCTGCGACTGTGGTGTGGAGAAGTTAGGGTCACTGTGCTGACATCATAGGCTTGTCTGGGAATGAAATAGGGTGTTGTGGAAGAAGAGAAAAACAGATCCTGGAAGAGTTCCTGGCAAAAATTATTCCCTCATACATACTGGCATATTAACTAATGCTACCATGCATGTGGAGACAAACCTTTTTTAGATGAAGTGGGGCCTGGGATTGTAGCTCAGTGATAGAATGCTTGCCCAATATGCATAAGGGCCTGGGTCTGACCCTCAGCAGCCCCCCAAAAGAAAAATAATAGATGAAGTGGGACTGCAGGGTTAGAGGACAGAGATAACTGGATGGGCACTACTGAGGCCTGGGATTTTGAATCTAGAATCCTAAGTTCTAAGGGAGGACTCATGAACACCTAGAAGAAAAAATTGCTAACTTTGTCTACAGCACAATAGGCAGTTGTGCGTTAATAATTATCGATTTCATGTTTCTCAGAGTCACATTCTGGGAAACTCAAACAGTTCCTGCCTAGCAGACTGCACCAAAGCTTAAAGGAGATGAATCCACTTCTTTGCAGTGGTGGTCAGTAAAGCAAAAATGGTAATTCTTATAATATGGGGATTGAACTGTAGAAAGGCAAAAGAAAAGATAAAACTATGTACTGTTTGGATTAAGCTTAAATCCTCTGCAAGCAATTGCAAAAGGCAAAGTCTGAAGGGTTGGAATCTCTAAACACTTCTTGCAAAACCCTTATATAATTAGCTTCTTTCTTCAGCCTTCCCCAACGTTTTTGAAGAAAAGGTGATTTTACTTCCTTCTAAACCTGGTCACACATTGCCAGTCTGAATTACCATCCCCAGTTTGGCAGAGACTTGGAGCTAGTCAACTAGTGGGCCCAGTCCCCTGCCATTAGGCAAGTGGGTGACTTCTCCGAACCCTCTAAGAGAGGATCAGCTGAACTGGGTGTAAAGTGTTCTCAAGATTCTTAGCCTTTCTTCGATAGCAACAGTCAGAAATAGCTTCTCCTGGGGTGAAACCATTTACCTTTAAAATGTATGTCCATTTTCCCTCCTGAATTTTTCTGAGGAAGTGGGCATCCTGATAGGAAAAGGCATGGAAGTATTTTAGTTGAATCCAGTTTTGGGCCTGCAGGAAAGACCCAAGATAGGGCTGTAAAGACCCTAAACTCAGGATGAAGAAGAATAACCTCTCATAGTAAAGAAAGGACTCCAGATTGGTGGAATCTCTCTCCTTTTTCTTTTATTTAGCAAATATCACAATCCCAGGTCTCCTTTCTCACTCTCCTTGAGGTGCCTAAACTAAGAAGAGTGTGGCTCCCCACGTTTTTCTAACTGTTAGCCCAAGCATGCTGGGTCTTGCACGTGGGGGCGGGGGGTGGTGGCATTTGAATGAGAAGGGCTTTGGTGGAAATCGTGTCACTTCGTGGTCTGCTGGAGTTATTGAGGCCGCCCTGGGGAGTTTGTGTGTCTAATGCTTGCTGTGTCAACACGGGTTGACGGCAATAACCGCGTCAAGCCGTAAACTCACAATGTAAGGTATGTGCCCAGCACCTCCCTGCCTCAGGCATGCAGCAAGACCATTTCTTCTGCCTAGCGCGATACTGGGCTCAGAAAATGAATGTGTACGAAGTAAAATGGGGATTCAGTGCTGGTATTCAAAATGCATTTCCATTGGTTTTCCACTTGAAATGGATTTTAAATGACAGCTACGACCATGGTTCTAGGTTTTCCATTTCTGGACCTAAGAAGAAGCACAGGCTCTCACCAGAATGGCTAAACGTTAAACATGCTTTTCCCAAAGACTGTCTTTCTCTGTCTGGCTTTAAAAATGACAGGAGCATCACTGTTTAAGGTTGTTTAAAGTCTTTTTAATTGAAGAGCTTTGTAATTGTGGGGATGGAACTATTGGCGCGAGAAAGGTGGTTCCCAAATGACTTCCCTGAATATTTATAATTTTTTGCGTTGGGAAAGGGTTGGTATTCTTTTTTTTTTTTTTTTTCCAGTACCGGGGATTGAACTCAGGACCTTGTGCTTGTGAGGCAGGCATGCCACCACTGAGTAAATCCCCAGCCCCTAGAAGGGTTGGTATTCTTAAGAACGTGCTGTTCTCTCTGTCATTTTCCTACTCAATTTCTCTTTTTTCACCTACTTTGTCCTTATCTACTTTTTTTTTGCATATCCTTTTATTGGTACATTTTAGGTACACAATATAATGACATTCATCATTGGAAATTTGCACCTTTACATCATCTCTCTTGGTTCTTATTTTTTCCCCCTTCCCCTGCCCTCCCTTCAACCCCTCCATCCCTCCCTATTTACAAAGACTTTGTTTCCATTTTTTCATTTTCTCATATTAATTCCATTCCCTTCTTTCCTTTCCCCTACCCCTCCCATTTTCCCCTCCCCTTTGCCCCTTTTCTTCCTATTTCACATTATCTATTATACCTTTTAGTCCTTATTTACACTTTCAATTTCTCACACTAGAGAAACTATTCGGTATTTACACATGTGTGTCTTGTTTATTTCACTTAAGAGTATCACCTCAGTGTGCATCCATTTAGCTATGCGTGTCTCTAATTTCTCCTTTTGTCCTTATCTACTTTTATAACCCCTTTCCAGGGGCTGAAGTTTTCTACTTTTAAGTATTTTATATCCTGCTTATTTATACAAAATATGTGAAGATTCTTACAGTATTATAAATCAAGAGAGTGAAGAGAAAAAAACATAGAGGGAGAGTATTATAGTAGGAATCTGAGACATTTACTACAGTTAAGCGTCAAATTTGGACAGAAGCCTTCTATAGGTGAAACAGAAAGTATGAAGCATCAGGTTAAGGAGTTCTTTCTAAATTAAAAGTTGGCTTTTTCTTAGTATCAGGTATTTTCTGCACCAGGAAGTTCCATTACTTTCTCAAGCACAAGGTTCTAGGTGCTCTGCGTGTCTCCTGCCACTGTCCCCCAAAACACAATGAGTTCTTTAGGAAATTCACAGTACAGATACAGACAGACACAGGCACTCAAGCTGGTGGAAGGAAATTCAACTTTCTAGTGTCACATGAAAATTGAACTTGTGGCAGTCAGTCCAAAGGCTGAAAAAGGTCACTTGGAAGCAGCCTCTGAGTCACGACTGGTCCAAACTGTGATCCTAGAAACCTGCTCTTGACCAGAGCCTCTGCGTGGAGTGAAGTCAAAGGGAGTGCCTTACTGGGCACCTCCTTACTCCATGGGTGAAGTGTGCCTTTCAGAAGTGGGAAGCTCTTGGTAGGGAGCCTGATCAGGAGCTAAGCCTGACCTATCTGGTGAGGCCACATGCTGGCAAATAGCACTGGTGTCTGATCATCCCTGAGAGTTGAGAACATGCATTGTATTACTCCAGATATCCATAAGTTTAGTGGGTACTGACTTTCTGAATAAAATGTTGAGACTATGTCAGGACAAAATACATAAAACCAGGACACAGGAGGCTGTGGTGTCCAATTGTTAGCCACTAGCTACACGTGTCCAGTGAGCCCTGGAAGCGTGGCTAAATCCCACCTGAGATGAGCTGAAACTGAAAAATAGAACCAGGTTGTAAACACTTCTAGGAGGGGTAGAAAGTAAAAATCTCTACAAATGTAATATTGATTACATGTTGAAGTGATAATATTTGAATCTGTTGGGCTACATAAAATATATTATTGAAATCAACTTTACCTGTTTCCTTTCACTTTTGAATGTGGACAGTGCTAAATTAAATATATGACTTGTGTTCTATTTGTTTTAGACAGCTCTAATCTAAAATTCTAGAATTTTAAAAAATATTTCTGAGGAGTAAATTTCTACCATCTTCTCTAACTCCTATGTTCTCTCTGGCTCTCTTTCAACAGATAGGACTCCACAGAGCACGTCAAGGACTACGTTAACCACCAATTCCTTTACCCCCCCCCCCATTTCCATTTTCTTTTACACGTGCTTACCCCAGTCATCTGCAGTACACCAGTTTCTGGTATTTTGAGCTTTGTAGAATTTCTGTTTGTACAGATGTGTGCTTGGACTTTTCTCTTTCTGAGAAATTGAAAGGAGAGGTTTACAGAACATCTACTCACTATTCAGAACCATCTCCACGGACTCTGCCTCGGGGGAACTGGAGGATCTCCAGGTTGTCCCTGGGGCGTCCTCATTTGGCAGTGCACGCGACAGTACATGTCCTATCGGAGCACCCTGACATGCCGTTCCCTGGAGGGAACAACCAAGTGCCGTGAGGCGGGTGATCACATGCTGCCTCAACTGTCTGGTTTCATGTATAATAAACACATTACTTTATATTTTTGGGGAACAAAAAAGTGCTGCTATAGGGATCAAAATTTTCATTCTGAACACTTTTCCGAAAACAAATTACCCCGAAGGAGCATTTTGAGTATCCCGGTCACATCTTTGGATCTGTAAAATACCCCTTTTAATATGGCATCTGTTAAAATGCAAAGCAGATTTCTGCAAGGCAGAAAAACAAGCTGACAATAGCAATGTAGAATTTATTCATTCAAATACATCTATGTAAATGGAAAAAGTCATAAAATTCACCTCCAAGCTGCTTACTATTGAACCTGCGGCATCTAGTCTCTGCCAGCCTGGTTGGTTTGAACATCATTCCTTCAGAAGTGTTGAAAATGCTGCGAAGTTGGATGAGTGGAGATGGAGCTGCCCCTTCTTGCTTCTTTCTCCTTGATCCTTCCAGAGCCTGCACTGGGGATGGCCTGTTTGTCTGGGCAACCATCTTAAGCTTCAAGAGGTACTGCTAAAGAAACCTAGCATCCTTCCAGCAGCTGAAAAAGAAAGCCTGTGGGGGAAAGTACAAAACAAAATTTGTGCCTGTCTATGAATAAGTTGCCATTTTAACCCATCATTGCAGACTTTATTTGAATTCTCTTTGGCACCAAATAGGCTTTATATTCTTCTAGGCATAATTAGAAGATACCAGTATAAATGGATTTTTTACATTTAGCTATTATTATTCTAATATATGAATCTAAAGCTGATTCCTTTACTCCCAATTGGGCATATTAAAAGGATTGATTTCCAAGTACTAAGGTTTTCAGGGAAACTGACAAGGATCCAAGTAAGTTGATCTTGTGTGCTGCTACTTGTTTTGACAAAACTTTGGGGTAAGTCAGTGACAACCCAACCAGTCCTGGTGAAAGCACCCATCCTGTTATGCCCAAGATGTGTGAGCTGGCACTGTCACCTGCAGCTGTCACCGTTGGAGTGAAGTGTATGCCAGGGGAGACTTTGGGTTTTCTCATGGCCATGTGGGCCAAAGATAGTTCAAGTGTGTGTGTGTATGTGTGTGTGTAAAATACAAAGTACTGTGCACTATCTTTTTAAATTCTTGTATAAAATTTCTCTGACAGTAATGCTGCTTTGATTTAATTTATTTGTTAAATGTTGCACTTTGTCTATGTGTGTTTTGTTTTGGGGGAGTATGAAAAGGATGAATTCTATTCAAGTATTTAGTCCATACAGATGACAAATTTCATTAATTTTTTTTCATCCTGATTTTGTTGCCATGTCTGCCCAATCACTGCTTGGGCACTAAGTAAAGCACTTATTTGCAGTCTGAGAGAAGGGTCCTTGCGGGGCAGGTTTTGCAAGACTTATTGGGTAATAACATGCCACAGACTTCAACTTTGCTGGTGATATGTTTGTCTCTGACTTTGGAAGCTAAAACAATCTCTGAGAGAGTTGCTGATTAAGTAATTGTCAATACATACCACTTACTATTATCCATTAGGCAATTGTATTACTTTATGTACGTTAATTGAACAAAGGTTGGTAATTTTCTTTCTTTTTTAGAAGGAGGAGGGGCTTTTGTTAACAGCCATTATAAAATGGATTATTTTAGATTCATTCCAAAGTCATTTCTCCCTGGGTACCCCTTTTCTACTTCTGAAGAATTGGCTGGCCCTTTCATGTTTCAAAAAGAAACATTTACTTATAGTTCCATATTACTTGATCTCTACAAGGCCCTTACAAAATCCACTCTACTTTTATTCACAGAGAAAGTTGGCTTTGATGTCTTTTAAAGATAATTCTGCTAGTTGCTGATCAGCCAGTCAGTTCACCTAGCTTCAGTCTTTATATAGGACCTCTAATCTAATTTTCCTACACTGTGACTAAAGGGTAGGTAGATCATTAGAATAGAATATATAGTTCATTCAAATGGATCCCCAAATACTACTTTGTGTAATAAGCTGCTTCTTATATCAGGACCACATATTCTTTTTTAAAAATGCTGCATTTATGCATTTTCCATTTTTTAAACGCTATTGCTCCACATACCAACATAAAAACTACATTTCTGAGCCCATGTCTGGTTAAATTTTTGTTATATGTTACTTTTTGCTAGTTTGTATGTGTGTTTTTCTCCTCTGAATAATTTTATATTTCATATCACTTCTTGATAGTTTATTCTTTGATGCTATCAGAGAATAGCCAGATGGTTTATATAAATAACGTCTACCTGCAAGATGGTAGCTTGCTAAATTAGAGGAATGCTGTTGGAGATATCAAGATTTTTGGTTGGGATCCAGAATGTATTACAGTAGTGCCAAATGCATTTTGGTCAATTACTAGAGAATTCTGTGTACACATATCACCTGTTAAATGCTGTGCAGTTTGCTTTTGTTGAATGGCAGGTAGTAGACAGAACAATAAGGGTGGTTAAGACTTTTAAAGGAAACAGAATAATGTGATTAAGAAAATGAGAATTTATAGAAATATTGGAATAAATGAAGAAATAAAAATGGTTGTCTGGAATGTAGTATCTAGTGAAGCCTTCAAGTTCACATACAGAAATGATTTTCCTGACCTAGACAAAACAAAGATATTACCAGGACTCAGTGGATTCAGCTCCACTTTCCTGTAGAAATAACCAAAAGCAAATGAAAGCTCTTAACAGTTCCCTCTTTTGAAGTGTACATTTGAGCAGGGCAGGAGTCATTTGGACGCTAGAGAGAAGATATATTAGAAATGTTTTTCATTTGCAGAGGGTAGGGGAGATTTCACTTCATTGTATTATCCTGATTATAGTGAGCAAACTAAAGGAACCATATTTCTAATACTGTTTATTTTAACTGACAATTTAAAATCTTTTTTTTTTTTTTAAATGTTGAATAAAGGCCAGGTAACTACCGAAGAGAGCAGCAATCTGTGAAGTCTACTTACTTTCTTAAAAATTGTGTATCAATTTTAAATACTTTTCATTGTGGGCAGATATAAGGGGAATAGGGCATTCTGTAGAATTATATATGTCTAGATTGTAAAGCGTGTCCTGTGTACTGCAGATATGTGTTCTCTGGGTTTTATGTATCTGTACAGTAGCTTTCATTTAAAAAAAATTGTGGACAAACTTGTTTTGGTGGTTTTCGGGGGAGAATGGCAGTTTGTATCAAGTAACAATGTGATACCATAGTATGTGTCATAAAATACCTGGAAATAACCCTCCCCTGGACTGTGGAAAATTTTGGTTATCTCCTTGGTTCTAAAATGAAGATGTATGGATACTCTGGCAGAATGCATGTTGTATAATTTGAAAAATAAAAAAAGTGGACAATAAAACTCAATTAAACTTTGGCCGGTCCATTTTTCCTTATTCAAGTCATCCTAATGTTCTCTCATTTAAGACGCAGGGGTGCTTGCATTGGGATCAGCTGTTTTCTGGCCTCAGAGGAGTTTATTTCAAATGAGCAGCTGCTCCAGTGTGCATTATGAGCAAAGTCAACTGTACTCTGTTTTTCTTTTACTTTGCTTGAATACATGCTTTTTTCCATTGAGAACCAAAAGAATTTGACATTTGTTTCTTCAACTCTGAAAAGTTAGCTCCAGATTTTAAAGTGTCATTAACTTTTTAAAAGTATGATTGATTAAAGGTCAGTAGACTACTGTTTTAGCTGAATTTCTGAATATCTTTCTGCTTGAGAAAGGCACTTATTTTGATGGTGGATTGCAGAGGATTGCCATCCCTCATCTAATGATTTTGAAGCCCTGTGTATGTTGAAAGATTACTGGCATCTTTTGAGAGTGGCTGGGGCATGTGTGTGTATTCCTGCTTAACCCACTGATTCTTAGAATTAAGGTTCAGGCCTGAGATATCATGGGAAGACACTAGAGTGTGAAGCCTTTGGGTAACCAATGGCAGCACACAGGATTTTTTAAAAAATTAAATTTCTTTCTTTCTTTTTTTTAAAATTTCTTAACCAGGGGACTTCCCTACCTTGGGTCACTAGAATCGTGTGACTGTGCATAATATTATATATGTAAAGCATCCTCGTTCTAGTTTCAGTTTGCCTAATTGTTGCGTGAGAACCAGTCAGTAAGCTTCTTTGCCTTAATCAATTAAAAATGGAAAGGATGGATGCTGAATGAATGGTTAATAAGTGTAACTGAGGGTACTGAGATGGTGTGATTTTATGATGTTATATCTTTCTTGAAATTATTCTACAAAGAAATCGGGGGAGGTGGTTTCCAGATGAGCTTGTTAAAGCTTGTTAAAGGTGGAGCGTGTGTAAAGCTTACTTACCCAGTAAGCTCCAGACATGGTGGATGAATATTTAGGTGGAAGCCTGTTTATTTAAAATGGGAAAGCAGCCCTCTGAAAGGAGCAGATTCCAAAGCACATTTCAGTGTCAGTGGGAAATGACCTCTAAAGGTCTCCGAGCACAGCTCCACAGTCTGCCTGGAGGTTTCCTGTTCTTCAAGCTCGGAACTGTGCTGGAGCTTTGCCTTGGAAGAACAGAGCTGAAGCACCAGTGGGACAAAGTGGGAAGGAAGCAGTAATCTGCACAGGCAATTACTGGTGACGTGTGTGTGGCAAGTTTAATTCTGGCACTTGTGACAGGCTACGTCTTGTAATTTGTCTTAGGTTCGTAATTCATTGAGCAAAAGAAGTAAGAGGCATCCTGTGACACATCAGGTGAAAATGTGGCTTCCTTTGACAGAAGACGTCCTGAGCCATGGGATTTTTACTTTCCTTTTGGCATTTGGTGGTTCTTCATCCAATCTGCAAAGAAAACACCAATTTCTGTGCGGTTAGTTGGGCTCAAAGGAACTCTTAAAACTTGCAGATAACCCGTTTGAGGTTTTTCTATTTGCAGTGCCCTGGATGGCAAAGGCTGGAATTCTCCATCTGCTCTGCCCCCCTGTGCAAAAGGAGTTTCTGTTTGAGAATCCTAGGGGATCCCTCTCCACTTCAGTGCTTGCCAACCCTCAGTCTTCCCCATGACCAGACTGCACACGATCCTCACAGTACAGCTTTGCAATCAGATTTACCCAGAGCAAAATTTTATCCTTTCAGAAAATGTAAGTGGAACAGAGAAACTGACAAACCTGTCTCCGACGAAATCTAACAGCATCAGAACCTTGAAATACTCAGAAAGCTGCAGTAAGCAATTAATTTGAGAGCCTATTCTGGCTGTGTGCCAGACACTGTTTTAAGTGCTTTACATGTATTAATCCATCTAATCCTTCTACTAACCCCATGAGGTAGGCACCATTATCTTCCTTCTACAGGTGAGGAAAGGGCACAGAGAGGTTAAGTAGGTTGCTTGAGGTCTCACAGCTGGCATGAGGAGGAGCCCAGATTTAAACACACAGTCTGGACCTAAGGCTTGTGTCCTCAGCACTGAGTGATGCTGCCTCTTGATTTTATATATATATATATATATATATATATATCCAGAGCAAGTCTTACAACTCTTTTTATAAAGGATTTTTATACCTTTATAACTTTTCATAGGGATCTAAGGTATTTATATTTGAGTTGCTTTAAGCAGTCAGATTTGTCTAGGAAAGAATGATGAAGGAAGGTGTCTGGTAGTACTGAACTCCGAGGCTTCTAAAGGAACAGCTGCCTGCCCTTGTCAGAATCTTGTTCCTACACAACATTCTTAAAAGAAGTGCAGCAGTCAGTGCTGTCAGTTTGCCAACTGTGTGTGATAAGAATTTAGGGTATTATCTATGTTGTTTTTTTCCTCTTTACAACATTATCTCTGCATTTAAAAATATATAACTAATATTCCTGCACTTCTTAAGTGAAAAGCTCTCAGTACTCTGTTGGCCCATTTGAAGGGGCTCATAAGGATGACCCAAGTGGCACTGGGTGTGTGTTCTCTCATCCCCAGGGATGTGTGAGTCCTTGAGGAGGCTGTTCATGGCTCCCTGTTGATAACAGCTGCCCCCCTCCCCACCTCCTGCCCTGTCATAATGATTAACCAGTTCTCATTTAGAGCTTTAGGTTTTAGAAAAAGCAAACATGCCAATCATACCACACATGCGTGTGCAAGTACAGCTATGGGGAGGGTGGAGAAAGAAGTGTGTTCCTTCCCTGAGCGCCCCCACTGTAGCACAAGCTCCCTTTACCTGCACCTCTCCTGTCAGGGCATTTTGCTGGGCTACTGAAGGCTGAGAAGGAAGGGCTGGTGGCAGATGCTGGCCAGGTGGCAGGGCTCTAACTCCTTCAGCCAGTGCCGAGGTAGCAGGCTGCCCACACCCCACTACGCCCAGCCCCAGCATCCTTGCCCTGCAGCACCCTCTTCCAGGATGTGCATGAAACAATACTTTTGGAGAGTCAGCCCTCTGCAGTGATGCTCAGGAGTTATTCCACAGGGGAAAGGACTATGCGACCTGGGTCTGACTGTCAGCTTCGCATCGACTACCTGACTCAGTGGTCAAGTTGTTTAACAGCAAGGATTCATGACTTCATTTCCACACTGGCATTAGATTTAGCCCACTGCCCTCTAATCGTAGTGTAGGAGTATGGGAAATCAAATAATCATTGGAAAGCACTTTATAATAGAGCTGCTTAAATATTAAGGAGAGTTATCAAACACTTCCTGGGAGATTATACAGCATTTCCATCTTGGGCCCTATCTGTTGGCTTATACTTATCAATGCCAGTATCTACCGTCGTAGAGATGACTATGAAGAGGCACTGGGAATCACCTGATTCTTCCTGGTCAAGTAAAGTCTCTTTGTAGCCCTCTGTCTAGGGTTCTTCCTTTTTCCACTGTCTTGGGGCTGCTATAACAAGTACTCTAGACTGGATGGCTTATGAACAACACATTTATTTTTCATAGTTCTGGAGCCTAAAGTTTAAGATCTGGATGCCAGTGTGGTGGGGCTCCTTTTCTGAGCCTGACTTCTTTGTCTTCGTATGGAGGAAAGGAGGAGAGATGTTTTTCTGGGATCTTTTTTTTTTTTTTTTTAATATAATCCTATTAATCCTATTCTTGGGTGCTCTACCTCATGACCTAATCACCTTCCCAAAGGCCCCATTTCCTGATACTGTCACTTGGGCTCAGGGTTTCAGCATATGAATTGGGACACATACAATTCTTGCACTCACTTTCCCACCCTCTTTCCTCACTGAGGGAAAGTCACTCTTAGATTGGCTTATGGGTAGAGGACATGCTGAGTCTTGTAAATAACTGCAGTGTATAGGGTTTCAAGGCAGTTTCCACACTGACTCGTGGCTTTTCACACCAGAGGGCTCATCAGGCTCAAAGTCCTGACACTCAATCATAAGCCAAGTTTATACAGTTTCCCATACATAGAGGCAGAAGTCCAGTAATCACAGTTAATGCTGAGACAAACTCCCAGCAGGATCTTTGTAGGAGCTTAGCAAGTTCCCCAAAGGGAGATTAAAGATACTCAGGAGTCATTTAGCCAAGCAGTACACAAAAGCACACTCAGCTCTGCTGGCATCTGGAAACAAGATTGTTTTCTATAACAGGCCCAGGTATCTGAAAGCTCTCCTCCTACCACTGCAGACCTCAGGCAGGGGCTCGACATTATGCAGGTGGGCTCTGTCCTCTGCCTGAGGGCTGCTGCCCTTAAACACAAGATGACTGTGATCATGACCTCTGCTTGATATGCACTGTCTCCCTTCAGATCATAAATGTGTGAGAAACCACAAATCCAAGGAGGTAAAGAAGCCTGTCTGAGGTCACATTGTTCATTTTGGCCCTAAAGCTCAGGTTCCTTGTGTTACAGATCTCTGCAAGTCCATCCCAAAGTATGGCTGGGAGCTGCTATCACATGCCACTCCCAATTTACCCTATAAATTGTAAATATATAGTGCCTTCCAGAGTGGCCTTCACTGTACAATATTGAGCAAATAAATTGAGTTCTTAGAGAAATAAAGAGCACATCAACAATCCGTAGCATAAAAGAGAAATCATTGAGACTTATCTGATAGTCAATAGAAGGAAAGAATAAAAGAGGGATGTTGAGAATCATCTGGTGATTGCCAGTGAGGTCAAATGGTGTCCCTTATGCCATGGCCACGCATGCTGTCAGCAGAGTCTGAATCTAAAACACCCTGTCCCCCAGAACACTCAGAGTTCAGTCCTACACCAGCTCTTGGCCTGCAAAGTTTGAACCTGTAAGTCATGCAAAAGATCAATGGCACTGGAAGCCTTTCTGTCACAATTACATCAAGTATTGATATTCGAATATTTTGGCACAGTCATTTGTCGGGTGTGTATTATGTGACAGCAACCCTGTGACCAAGAGTGGACCTTGGCAGTTTTTAGACTGGAGTTCCAGAATCTTCCAATCTTCCCTTCATGACCCAA